CGGGATCGTCCCGTGGTTCACTAAGTGCAACTCATGTTCCCATGATAGAGCTTCCTCTGATTTCATGTGCATATCAGAAGCCTCTCGAGATGTGAGATGAACCAGGACTGGACGATATCAAAGCCAGCCGACACTCATCGTGTTGCACAATTCCCCAGTCCCATGACGGATCGACAGAGCTAGGCCAAGTGGGGTATTTGTGAGGCTATTCCATTTCTCTGCCTTAATCTGATCTAGTTCTGTGGCGGGAAACTTGACAACATCTCAGTCAATGCTCTATGCTAGTTTAAGGAGAGAGATTCAGACAATCAGGCAGCAAGAATTGTATCTGGAGAATCAAGGTTCTTATCCTAAAACCTGTCTAGAGCCCTTTTTCACGGTAAGTAGGCTTAGTGTTTTAAGTGTGTCATCTGGCACTGTTCCTTCTTATCTTCTCATCTCTCTGGATCCTACTATTTACTTACTTTCCACACTAGGTTATTAAAGTAGAGCTGGTGGCAGTCTCTTTTCCTCCTATCTATTCACAAAACAGTAAAAACCTCTGAATTCCATTCACAACCTCGCGAGTAAGTGTCCCTCATTCATTGCTTTTCCGCAACCTAACTCGCGAGATATCTGGCGGCACCATGGTCTATAAGTGCCTCTTCTTTGCAGCTCCTTCTCCTTCTCCCTCTTCTTTATAGTATCTGTACTTCTCCACTCCTTTGTGCTTCTACAGAGATCTACTCTGCTGGCAATACCTCCTGTCACTCCTTTAAATCAGCCTACCTTCCACTGGTGGAAGAATGGCGTCCAATCCTTTCATTTACTGTCTCTTTTGGCTCATAGCCTTCATTGGGCTCGCAGCTCCCCTTGTTCTTTCAGTTTCCAATGGAAATGGCACTGGTTGTCGTACGCAGTCTAATATCGTGGCAGATACCGAGAATTCTAGTGGGGTCAGTATGGAGGGCGGCTACAAGTCTATCGCATACTTTGTCGATTGGGTGAGTATTTCCCTGGTTTTCTTTCAGACAAACCAAGACGACCTAGCTGACAGCCAACTAGGCAATTTATCAACGCAACTACCACGTTTTCGACCTTCCCGCGGACAAATTGACTCATGTTCTGTACGCCTTCGCCGATGTCCGACCCGACTCGGGAGAAGTGTGAGTATTCATCGAAGCATACTCTTCCCTGTGACAGACTAATGACGCGGACTAGATTTATGAGAGATTCATGGGCGGATGTCGACAAACACTATCCTGGTGATTCCTGGAATGAACCCGGAAACAACGTTTACGGCTGCATCAAACAGTTGTTCCTCCTCAAGAAGCAAAACCGCAAGCTCAAGGTCCTTCTGTCCATCGGAGGTTGGACCTTATCCGCCAATCTCACCCAGGGAACAAGCACGGATGCTGGACGCAACACTTTTGCCCAGTCTGCTGCGAAGCTGGTCCTTGATTATGGTTTTGATGGTAAGTTTTCTCTTCGTGTATGCATTACCTTTCTGCAGTTGCTGATTGATCAGGTATCGATATCGATTGGGAATATCCACAGAGTGAGTTTCAAAGGCGCCATGGGTGACCGGTGATTGTTGACGTTCTGTCTAGACGAAATTGAGGCTCAAGCCTATGTGTCGTTGCTTCAGAAGTGCAGAGAGGTGAGTTGCATTCTACTTGTGTCCATCGTCTCGGTCAGTGGACTGACATCCCTAGGCTTTGGACAAGGCAGCCGGCCCCAACCGCAGATTTCTTCTCACGATTGCTTGTCCTGCCGGTGAGTCTTCGTCGTCGCCTCTGTGCAGAATCTTCCCGCACCGGCGAGCCGTGGCGTAGGTTTAATTGACATTCGATCTAGGGCCAAACAATTACTCCAAGCTTAAGCTTCGGGAGATGACACCTTTTCTCGACTTTTACAATCTCATGGCATACGATTATGCCGGAAGCTGGGACTCTATTGCAGGCCACCAGGCCAACCTCTTCCCATCCAATGGCAACCCCTCTTCCACCCCATTTTCGACGATCCAAGCCATCAATTACTACACTCAGATCGGAGGAGTCCCGCCTTCCAAGATCGTTCTGGGAATGCCGCTGTACGGCCGTGACTTCTTGAGCACCAACGGGCCCGGCACCCCCTACTCCGGAAATGGAGCCGGAAGCTGGGAGCATGGTGTCTGGGATTACAAAGCTCTGCCCCAACCCGGAGCAACGGAGTCCTTTGACCAGCAAGCAGGAGCCTCTTGGTCCTACGATGCAGGCGCGCGCACCATGGTCTCGTACGACACCGTCGCCGCCGCCGAGATGAAAGTGGACTTCATCAAACAGCAGGGCTTGGGGGGTGGCATGTGGTGGGAAGCCAGTGGTGACAAGGGAGGAAAGGCAGCGCAAAAGGCCGATGGCAGTCTGATTGGGACTTTTGTGGAGGGCGTTGGTGGCGTAAATGCACTCGAACAGAGCCAGAATAATCTGGACTACCACGAGTCTCAATTCGACAACGTGCGTGCTGGTTTCCCTTGAAGCCAAACCGACGACTTGATGTCATGTGACGTTACTCGAGCCTCTCGTGCGACCCGTAGATCTTACTTGGCGATCTTTGACAGATTCACTTTGGTGATCTAATGACATGATGAATGATCTCTTTCAGTTCCTAGCGCCAACTTACTCTCCGTAGAACTATTACCTCGACGGTTCCCGTCCAAATTGACTACCACTGTAGCACAAGCGAGTAGTACGAGGCACTACACTACTGCAAAGGACCTGAGAGACAAGGTAATGGATGGTAGGATTTCCGATTTTTATCTTTATTTTCTTGAACTGCTACTACTCTCAACCTGCATTCCACCACTCTAACCAATACCGATATTGCCCGGTAGATCACCACACACTACCGGTACGGACGAACAGCGGAACGACCCGTTTCAGAAAAGCCGAGCATTTACTTGGACTCGTCGAAGACGTAGGTGAGGTGGCACTTGCCGCAGTACTGACGGTTGTGCATAGCAGCCATGAAGATACCAGCACCGCACTACAGATATGTTAGCTGCGAGCTTTTGCTTTTCAGAAGAGGAACTTGACATACCTCGGGGGAGGGGCACTCGCGGCGGAGACGCTCGATCTTGCCATCGCCGTCAACCTTGTAGTACTTGAGGACAGCGAGTTTGGTCTTCTTGCGCTTGTGCTTGATCTTCTTGGGGGTGGTGTAGACCTTCTTCTTGCGCTTCTTGCCACCACCACGCAGGCGGAGCACGAGGTGCAGGGTCGACTCCTTCTGGATGTTGTAGTCAGAAAGGGTACGGCCGTCCTCGAGCTGCTTGCCAGCGAAGATCAGACGCTGCTGGTCGGGGGGAATTCCCTCCTTGTCTGTTACCAAGTCAGATTAAGAGTCTTCTCGGGTCAAAGATTGCTCGGACGGGATGCATACCCTGGATCTTGGACTTGACATTGTCAATGGTGTCCGAAGACTCCACCTCGAGGGTGATAGTCTTACCCGTAAGGGTCTTGACGAAGATCTGCATCTTGAATGAAGGCCTGTGAGGGAGACATCGTCAGAACCGTGGTCGTTGAGCTTTTGTGAAAGGGTGCAAAAGCCATGATCCTCGGGTTGCAATTTCTGCTCACGCTTTTCTGAGAGATTACGTTGCAACGTCGAGGATAATGGATGTTAAATGAAATCGGAGTGATTCCATCTCGATGAAGCCATAATGTAGATGTATGGGCTGCGAACTCACCTCGACAAGACTTGTCTTCCTCAACCTTCGTTGCGATCGTGTGCAAAAGTGATTGAGGAGGAAGTGTGCGGTTAAAATCATTGTGTGGTCACGTGTAACGCATTTTGCCCGGTTCGATCTAGCGTCCAACATCTGGATCATTGGTTTCGCCGCTCCGAGACGAGGATTGATCATGTGACTGAGGAGCTACTTCCTTATCTCGTCGCCTGAAAACCAAGGCATCGAAACGAGCGGGACAGATGACGCCAGAGTTTATCTTTGGACAACCAGAGCAGTTGCCTCAGTATCGTCGCCATCAAGGCCCTCACGTCCTTGCTAGCAAATAATTGACGATATGAAACCTATAATAGTTATCAATTATTTCAATGCTATTGCGAAGAAAGGGAGCATCATCAAAGTCAATCATTCGAGCCCTTCATAGGCACCCGGTTGCCCCTATATAGCTGCATCTTTCGAGGGTGTCTCGACTATGAGGGGCTGTTTTCTGAGCTCCTTACTCCGGCCAGATGCAAAGTAAACTCTCACAGATAGACGCAGGGCTTGGACAATCGCCCTAGCTCGAATATTTTCCGCACTGGAACCAAGGCGCAGACGCCCACCAATTGATCCACAATGAGGTTGTCAGGCTTCATGCCAAGGGTTGATGGTTTCCCCGACGCCTGAGCCGCCCACGTTGCTGGGCCAACGCCGCCATTGTTGATCGGAACCATGGGCTGCATAGTAGATCAGGACAGCCATGGTCTGCTGGATCCAGCTTTGAGCTATCTATCTATCGATCATCTATCGATCCATCTCATCCCCTCCATCCTTGGTTCAAATCTTGAATTGAAATACCCTGTGTTTCTCCTCATTCTCGCTGCTTGCTAGTTTTTCTTCTCGGACTCCACGTCTAGAGGTCAACTGGACATTCGCGCAGGAAAGCTTCAGCTTTTACGCCTTTCTTTGAAGCCTTTGCGACAGTTGCTGTAATCGCAAGTCGTTACAAGAGCTAGCGCACAAGAAGCTCGAGACTTGGGCATTTTCGTTTCCTTTCTTTCTCTTCTTCTTTAGCTCGGTTTGTGATCTTTGTTCAATAGGACACCAACTGACACTGTTACAGGGTGGTTGCTTCCCATCTGCTGGGCCCGGCCAAACGGCTAGCGCTCCTCGAGGTTCGTACAGCACGTTTTCGTACATTTGGCGCAACGTTCCTGCATGAGGCTTACAGGTCCAATTGATAGATCCAGACGCAAGATCTGTCAACTATCGGTCGATCCATTTCGCCACGAGTGAACTCCAGAGATCTCCGCCCGACATGTTAGCCAATCCACATAGCAATCTGCATGAGCGCTATCGACAACATCGTCGGCAGATCTCGACTCCCAATGCGCTGGAAGCCGCCAAAGTTCCTACTCTTCCAGCACAGGCATTGCAGCGAATCAATGCGCATCGCCGTGGACAGAGTCTCGACCAACGACCTTTGCATGTCCAACGTCCTCGACCTATGCACGATGGGGCCGTTTCCATTACTAACGCAACAGCAACTCAGCAAGCCCAAATCCTTACGGGGGGAGCACATCATTCCCGATTCTCGCAGTCGGCGCACTTCCCTCAGCATTCTTCTCCCATGCCTGTGATGCCTGAATGCCCGTCTTTGACCTCAGAAGACCTGCAAGCATTATCCAATTCTACCAGCAATGCGAACCATCCAGCCATGGCTTACATGAATTCGAGCTTCATTACCATGGGAAACCCGAGCTTGGGGATTCGAGCAATGGATAACAATCTCAACCTGATACAACAGCAGCAACTGCAAAATGCTCACGTCTCATGCGTTAATGGTCTCGATGGCCAAATCCTCGACAACGGTGCCTGGAATTTCTACCAGCAAGGCCATCTCCCTACGACGCTCCGGCCTCAAGTCAACAACCTTTCGGCCGATGGGAGACGACAGTCTGTTCAGTCAGATATCAGCCCCTCGCAACGACCGCATACCCCCAAGCAGACAAATACGAGTAAGTTTCCAATTCGGTCATACCGTTCGCCTTTCTCCCAACCACTGACGACCCATCCAGATTACTTTCCCATAACGCCAGCGACAACCCCGTTCAAGAAACCAGCGGAACTTGCTCAGTATAGTACGGACATGCAGTCCACCCCCTCCAAGGAGACAGGCCGCAGTGCACCCTCATCGGCATACATGCAACGAGCCAAGTCCCTCCAAGGAGTTGCGGGGTCTACCTTTTCTAACTCCAAAATCGAGATGCCTTCCCCCCCGAACACTGCTTCATTTGAAATTGACAGTTTTGATGCGTTTGGCAGTCAACAGGGTTCCAGTTTCGAAATCTCCGAGTCAGAGAATTTATCGCAGAGTCACTATGCCTCCTCGTCAGCAACCTCGTCCTTTCAATCCTCCCCAGAGCTAGCCGCCATGCCAAGCCCCGATGACAATCATGAGAAAGCTCAGAAACTGCCCATCTTTCCTGCCGCGTCCAGTCGGGCCCACAGGAAGGCGCTGAGTACCACCTCCAGCTCTTCCTTGACGAAACCCCGGCTTTCTCCAAGAGTGGCGTCCATTGATAGCCTTAACCTTGATGCTAGGGTTCATGCTTCTATCAAAGAGACTGGAATCACCATCGATGAGATCGCTTCCTACATCTCTGGCCCCGACCCGGAGGACGGAAAGTGGGTTTGCCTTCACCCCGGCTGCGAGCGACGGTTCGGAAGAAAAGAGAACATCAAGTCACACGTCCAGACCCACCTTGGTGATCGCCAATATAAGTGCGATCATTGCAACAAGTGCTTCGTTCGGGGACATGACCTGAAGCGTCACGCCAAGATTCACACTGGAGACAAACCATATGAATGTCTTTGTGGCAACGTATTCGCTAGGCATGATGCTCTGACTCGGCACAGACAACGAGGAATGTGCATCGGCGGTTACAAGGGTATTGTGCGCAAGACAACAAAACGTGGCCGTCCAAAGAAACATCGACCCGAGTTGGAGGAGAGACAGGACAAGGCGGCTAAGACACGCCAGAGAGTCGCCGAGAAGATATTCCTTCACTCCTCGTCCGGATCTGTTGACTCCCCCAACTCGCCGCCTTCTGAAATCCTTGAGAGTATGAGTCTTCACGGTGGATCCAGCCCCAAAGAGGATATGCCCGTGTTCAGCCAACCCAACTTTTCGTTGCCTCCATCGGCGTTTACTTTCACACCTCCTGCGTCTCCGCGACAGAGCCTTGGAAACCAGCCATCGCCCACTCAGAGTCGCCGCTCACTCACACCCAGTAGCGAGGATGAAATGCTGCCTTTGTCACCATCCAAGCGTCCCCTCGAGAAGATTGTTGAAGAACCGAGCCTGCCTTTCATTTCGAATGCCAATCCGTATACCGATATTGCTACCTCCACCGCCGAGCTGTCTTCTCCACATACAGCTCCCACCTTGGCAGATTCGTCTCACGGCTCCGACCTCGATATCTTCATCAGCCCGGACAGCTCCGCCAACTTCAAACATGAATTTCCTGATCTGAGTGACCCTGACATGGCCGCTTTTCCCGACTATGTCAACGGGTCTACTTTCGAGCCCGGACTGGATCTGTTTTCGAGCAAGACCTTCTCTGCAGGTACCTCTATGAACGACGACTTCTTTTCACTCCAATTTCAGGTTGATGATATGACCAAAGAGTTCTTCATGGACTGCTAGCTTTGGCCTCTAACGACGCACGAGCCACACGAATAGACTGAACACCACACATACCATGACACGATGCAACGACTCTGGCTGATGACCGACGCGCAAATTAATTCTCATGACTCCGATTTCAACGACTGGAATTACACGTATGACAACGACCTTCAAATTCCACGACACGACTTATGTACAATTTCAATGACAACTTCCGCAACAAATCTTTCTTCGTTTGTGAATGACATCTGTGCAAAAATTTTCGGGGTTACATTCTTTTTTCAGTTCATCATCTCGGTTCTTTTCCTTCTCGCACATGTACGACATTTTGGGTTCTGCAGTCAAGACTTAACCTTCCCAATAGGGTTCTGCAGTCGCCTCTCCTTTGACTCCTATCCTTCGTCCATGTTTTAGCGGTCCTCTAGCCTAATCCCGGCGTTCACTTTTCTCTCTTCGGGAACCGTTTTTGGCCCGCTGCATCCTTGTTTAAAATTAATCCTCGGTCGTCTGCATGACCTGTACTTTATCTGAGCAATAGATTCCACGATTCACGCTGCGCACAATCAATTATCTTCGAGCCTTTGGCCTGCTATTTAGAACCACTCTCTTGAATCTACATAGAACTTCTAGAGCAAACTCGAATCTATCCAAAATCAAATTGGAGGTCTATATATCTGATTTAAAAACCATGCCAAAACAGGACAATACGACTTGGTCAGCGACGCTCTTTCCATATAATAGACAGGTCGATCGGATGTTCACCCTGGGAAGCAAAGATGGTGCTCTGCGTGCGGCCCTTCGGTGCCTTGTCTGCGAAAAAGGTCGTATTTCCGCGATAGGAGAGCTTGCCATCCTGGACCTGTACCCCCAGTGGAAATTTCGTCAGCGGACGCAGGTCAGTGGAGGGCAAAATGGAACTTACGGAAAACTCCTCTGGAGCAGTGACGTGAGGGCCACAGCTAAAGGCGTCTCGTTCGAATGCGCAGATGCCCTTGCTAGATTGCAGGGTGAACGTGTCATCTGATACCTTGTTAGCCGGGTGTTCTGGCAGATACAAGCAACAACGCTACGATGTAATTTTCCACCCTCTCTTTCTGCAGCAACATACCTGTAAGCTTCTTCGCCTTGAAGGTTGCGCATGTGCCAGAGGCGAACCACTTCCCGCGGCTGATGATACAGCCTCTTTTTCCACCCATCGATGATACTATAAGGTTGCCGCGACCCTGGAACGGGATCCCGGTACTTGTTGGTTCAGAGGGGCTGCTTGTTGTTCGGGAGGGGTCGCGGGGCTTCTTGGGTATGTAATGGATGCCTGTGGCAGGGCAGTTGGACTTGAGGCCGTCTGCGGTCATTATCCATTAGCATGATTGACGTCGCGTTGAGTAGTGAGGTTTCAAGGCCCGACAGACCTGGCTCAGAGGCGACGAAATCTCCCGTCTGCAGAGAACCTGCAATGTTGAAGTGGTACCAGACTTCATTCAGCGCACGGTTTCGGCACCGGACGGTAACGGGGGCGCCGTGGGCTTTTGCTAGAGTATCTTGGATTTCGTCGAGGGTGTATGTCTTTGTATGTGAGGGGACGATGCCAGCATTGGCGAGGGTCTTGAGAATAACGGTCAGTCAGATCAAGTCAGAGTAATGGTCAAAGGAGGTCCGGACTTGGTAAGTAGGCAATTTCTGGAAGATCTCCACAGTTTTGTTGAAGTAGTCTACGACTTCCTGCTGTGGATAATAATCCGCATAGCAGTTTGTTTCCAGAGTGCTGATACATGTGCCATGCTTGTTCCATTCATGCTCCCAGAGATCTTCGTCGTCGCCTCGGAAATCTTTCCAAAAATCACTCATAAAGTCTAGGAGGTCAGCTCGGCCTGAGTCAACCAAGATCAGGGAGATGTTGCTGTATCTCCTCTTTGAGTCACAGTATTGATCAAAGCCACCATCACAAAAGTCCGGCCTAGGTGAGCCAGGTGATCAGTGTCCTATTCAGTAGGATGCGTGTCTGCGACGGTAGACGCTTCGGTAGCACCGTGTAGAGCTCACCAGAGTCCATGAATAGTCCAGGAGTCGACTGGGCCGACCGCAGGATCCGCATCCCAGAATTGCGTCTGGAGCATCTGCCCTCCGGGATAGTTGAAGCAGCAAGTGTTCTGGCCATGGTACTGGGCGTGGCAGCTCAACTCCGGTTTGAGGCATTGAAATGAGTTTTGCGGAACTCCGCCATCTGGCTCTAACACATTGGAGAGTCCCAAGGAGCCTGTCAGAGCTTTCAGGATGTGCTGGGGCCCAGGTATACTCTGCAACATGCTTGTTGATATAGAACCTCCAGTGGGGTCAGTACCACTACTATGAGTGAAGACGATATGACGACTGTTCCTTCCACACTCGCTGCAGAGCCGAGAATGTTTTACGACAGGATAAAGTGTAACATGCACAACGCAGCTGAGGAATTAATTATATGTTAAGAAACGGCCCAAAAGAAGTTAAGCTCTCAAGGCAAGGCTGCTGGAATGATGCTACACGCACGTGAATGCCTCGTCATAACGTGACTAAGCTTAGTGTCACATGTGACCCTGTTCAGCTGATAAGTGCCTGATTAGGCTGTCGGAGTGCTTATCAGTCTATCTGCGGATGGGGGATAACTATCTACTAGCTCGGACATTGCTAAAAGGCACATCGAGAATCTCAGGAATAAAAGGGATGAGACTTGTTCAAGATGAGCGGGGGGTATCATTGTTAAGCCTGAAAATAGCTATCCTATTCTGTAAGGACATGAGGGATCAAGATCACGAAGGTTCAGAACTTTGTTCAGCTTTGGCTTCAAGCTCATGAGCGCGTTCTTTCCAAAGCCTCAAAACTTCAAACCCTACCTCAACGGCAATGAGAAGGATGATAATCCATTCGAGCCGGAGGCCATGTGTCTCGCTCAGCCTCTCTCGAAGCACGCTTGCTATTTCCTGTGCGTAATCCATTTTCTCATTCAAGAGCTTGATGCGAATACCCACATCTAGTGCCCTTCCTACCTGCTCGTAGTAGCCCTCTAGACCCAGCTCATGCCGGCTATCCCAGAATAAATCTGGCAGTGAGTCTGTCAGCTCCGAATAGAGATTCAATTGGGCCCGCACACTCAGCAGTTGGCCGGTCTTGCGAAGGATAAAATCTCTTGTGAAGGGTAAGCGAGAGCCCTGCGATAGAAGTGTGGGTATCGTCCTGGTTGACTCGAAATAATTGGCCAGCAGAGTCTCAAGCACTGCCAGTTTCGTACTTCGAGCCAACCCTGACGAAAATGCCACCTTGGTAAGGACCGTGTCTACAGACTGCCGACCAACGAGCTTCGATTCGGGGTCATCGCTACCGGACTTGGTGCCAAGGATAATGGTATCTCCCTTAATGCTGCTGTTCTCCCGTTGAGGATCCTCAATGTATTCTAAATCCTCCGTCTCCAAATGCTCTATGTGCGCACCTTCCGCCGCCGGGAGAAGGGTCCTAGTTGCCAGAAAAGATGTAAAGCCCTCGGGCAAAGACCACGCCACCACGGTGCCTGAAGGGAAAACGAATACATCGCCAACTTCATCGGACGACAGATCGGTCGTGGTGGGATTACTCACGCGTCGAATCGAATCTATGGGAACTTGGATATGAACGACTTGAGGAAAAAGGCCTGTTTGAAACGGATCCGGCTCGAAACCTTTCTCTTGAAGGATATCTCTGACTTTGCGGATGTCGAATTGTTCTGCTACAGCATAGGCTGTTATTGCCTTTTAGTCCAATATCAGCGGCCGATATTTGCTTGAGTGAGCAGCTCTTGAAACCTTAGTCTGGTAAATTCCTTGCTCTTTCAGTTGAGCTTTTGATAAGAACCCGTCTTTCGACCTTTGTGCCTCCACTGCCACTCTCCGTAACGATGTGGGTGCTGCGGGGTTTCTGGCGCCTCTCCTGCGTTGTTTCTGCGTCTCTGAGAACAATTCCTGCGATAGATCACCATTTTTGGACTGTTTCTGACTGAGAAAGGCATTGGATGAGAAGAAATCTTTGCGTCGAGGAAGACCAAGGGGATACGATGCGTGAAGATTATGGCTCTGCGGCTGTTTCAAGAGCCTAGCCACAGTGGGCCTTCTGCATATCGAACAGACGTAGGACCTTGCGAACATGCTGCGGTATTGGTACTGAGGAATCCAAAAGGAGCCACTGAGGAATCCATTAACCGTACACCTGTACACCAATGCCTTAAAATTTGACGCAGCAAACAGAGTGTTGCAAAGAAAATGTTTCGACCCATCCGACCAGCTTTCAACGGCGATTTTGGGCTAGGCGCTTAGTCATCAAGTCTCCCCAAGTTACCCCAGGTCCCCCAACTGCTCGTCATGACTCGATTCCCCCAGCCTGTGGTGATTTTTGGATTGTTCCAGATACGGAAATAGGCGCTCGCCATGGACGCGCCTGGCGCGAGTGAGCCTACAGAGGATGCCCGTCAGGACAGCCCGGCACATGAGGCTTCTGTGCAGCAAAGAACCTCCAACCACAGCTCTCGGCCCGAACAGCCTGCGCATGGAGACGACAAGGATGAAGAGGATAAGGGTAGTGGAGAGGTAGACACTGAAGAGGAAGATGATGATGAAGATGATGATGATGACGAAGAAGACGAGCCTCAACTCAAATACCTGTATCTCACGAAAAATCTGGGTGCCGTGTACCGCAACGGCGACGCAACCAGCTCATTCCTTACCGCGGGCGATAAGATGGTATGATTTCAAAAGCGTACGATTCAGTTTCCCTTGCTGAAATGTCTCTAGATTATCGGAACGCACAATGGCAATATTGTAAGCTAACATGACTACTTGTTGTGAGGGTGCAGTAACTGACGTCTTGCAGCATGTGCTTTCCTTGCCTCTATTTCAGTCGCTTCGGACTTATCACGCACACTCAGCGAGCATTACTTCCGTTTCAGTCTCTCCATTCCCACCTCCTTTACCCAACATTAAAGCAGAGAACGTCACCAGAACGGTCACGGAAGATCAAGTTGTTTCTACCCGATCCTCGTTCAGCACGGCCAGCCTTCGGGGTCGCAATAAACCGAGCCATCAGACAGCTCCACCCGCGACCCCCTCCAATTCCATCTACATCGCGACTTCTTCTATCGATGGTAATGTATGCGTTGCCTCTTTAGTGGATACAAAAGATGTCCTTCTACGGAACTTTGGGCGGCCTGTCCAAGCTGTTGCACTATCACCAGAATACAAGAGTGATCGAACATTCTTGTCGGGAGGGCGAGCAGGTGATCTAATTCTGACGACTGGTGGACGAGTGGGTGTGAGTACGAACTCGACGACAATGGGAGGCGCCGCAGCTGCGGCGTCCAGCTGGCTTGGATCGATTGGGTTGGGAACCAATACCGGCAAGGACACCATATTACACAGCGGGGAGGGTGCTATCGGCACGATTAAATGGTCCTTATCAGGGAAATACGTCGTCTGGGTCAATGAAGAAGGGATCAAGATTATGCGGTCAAACCTACATCTGGATTCAGCGGACTCTGAGCTTGCTTGGAAACGAATTAGCCACATCGACCGTCCGAACGGCCCTGGATGGGAAGAAATGGCCGGTGTCTGGAGAGCTCGAGCTGAATGGGTGGACGAAGACACTCTGCGCTGGGAGGAGAATGTGAAGTCCCAGCAGGACGAACCTCATCTTGACACCCCCGCCCCACCGGATGTAGTCGCGACGAAGGAGAATGTGGAGAGGCTCGTCGTGGGGTGGGGAGGAACTGTTTGGGTCATCAGTGTGTATCCCGACCGGCCAAACAAAAACAATAAGGATCTGAGGATAGGATCCGTTCAAGTCTCCACGATGTGAGTTCGTGTTGCCATAATTACGAAATGACCGCTGACAATTTGACTCTAGCTTGCGAACTGACTGTATTATATCTGGCATTTCACTATATACACCAAACCTTATAGCTGTTCTTGCATATATTGAGGCCGAGGAAGAGAATGTTTCGGAAGAGCGGACAGAGCACGGCGACCTTCGTCCTCTCTCACACCGCCGTCCCAGGGGCCTGGAACCTGAGCTTCGCATTATAGATATTGATACGAAAGAAGAGCTCAGCGCCGATACGCTTACATTTAGTCGTTATGAGAGCCTCACTTCTTCAGACTACCACATGTGCGTCATACCGCCGTGGAAATCATCAGTGCCTGTGTCTCAACGCGGGGCTCTGGAAACACTTGGAAATGGCCTCTGGGACGCGACGATGTATCCCGCGAGGTTGTTCAGCTCTGGTGCAAGTATCCGGAGCACAACAAGTAGTGGCGACAAAGGTTCGATCAGAGCACCAAGTATACTGGCCTCAAAACGGATGGCGAATGAAGAACCCTTGTCTAAAGAAGTACAGGACATTGCAGCAAGCGCTGGTCCGAAGATCTTCGTCCACAGCCCATATGACTGTGTGGTTGCGGCGAAAAGAGACCTTTCAGATCGTCTAGCGTGGTTAGATGCACATGAGAAATATGAAGAAGCGTGGAAGCTTCTGGAGGAGCATCCAGAGGCGGCGGGGACACAGGAAATTTCGGATCATATGCCAGGTGCCTCAACACGGTCCCAGAGCAGCTTGGGTGACTTCTTCGCCGATGACAGGTCGTCCATTACGACCACTGGTCGAGCTGTAGTTTCTGCCGCTGACCAAGAGAAGCGCCGAATTGGTGAGCTATGGATCAAACAGTTGCTCGAGCAAGACGACTGGAGTCGAGCCGCTGAAGTTTGCGCGAAGGCAATACAGACCACTTCCGCGTGGGAGCATTGGGCATGGATCTTCGTGAAGAATAAGAAGTTGGACGAAATTTCTTCTGTTATTCCGGCAGATTTTCATCCGCCCTTGTCGCCGGACATATACGAGGAGGTTCTGAGCCATTACGTTTCTCGTGACCGGCACAGATTCAGCGAACTCTTGGATTCATGGCCTTTCACTGTCTTTGACGTCAATAGTGTTACGACAGCTGTCGAGGAACAGTTGGATCCCAGGACGGTGGCACCTGAAACAGAGGACTGGCGGATACTAACAAAATGCCTTGCCAAGCTCTATCTGGCCGGAGGTCATTATAACGAAGCATTGCACTGTTACATTCGACTACAAGATGCGGACACGGCCATGGCTTTGATCAAGGAACACCGCTTGTTGGACGCTCTTTCAGATGATATCCCCGCATTTATCATGATTCGTGTTTCCAAGGAACAGATGAAAACGGCTCCAATTTCCGAACTGGAAGAGATAACTGCCGAGCCAATCAAGCTTCTCGTCAGCGAAGCGTATACTGGAATTGTGCGCCCTGAGGTTGTGGTCACTCAGCTTAAAGACGCAAATCGGCTTCTTTTTCTTTATTTCTACCTCCGCGCTCTCTGGCGAGGAGAATCGCTTCCACACAGCGCTGCGAAGCCCCGCAGAGGTCACGGCGCCCGCATTCGGGACGCAGCAAGCAAATTAGCAGCTGATGAGGGGAAGGCGCTAGTTGATAATTTCGCTGATTGCGCCGTGGAACTTTTCGCCGACTACGACCGTCCATTGCTGATGGAGTTTTTGCAAGTTAGCACCGCGTACTCCTTTGACACAGCGGTTGCCGTCTGCGAGAGCCGCCACTTCACGTCGGAGCTCATCTACCTCCTATCTAAGATGGGACAGACGAAGAAGGCACTGAACTTGATTCTATCCGACTTGAAGGATGTCTCGCAGGCGATATCGTTTGCCAAGTCTCAAGATGATCCCGATCTCTGGGAAGATCTTCTGGACTACTCCATGGACAAGCCCCGTTTCATTCACGGGCTCCTTGTTGAGGCCGGCACGTCCATCGACCCGATCAAACTTGTCAGGCGCATCCCAAGCGGACTTGAAATCGAAGGGCTGCGGGAAGGACTCACCCGCATGATTCGTGAACATGACCTGCAGGCGAGTATCAGCCAGGGTGCCGCCAAGGTCCTTCAAAGCGAAGTCGCTGTTGGCATGGACACCTTAAGGAAAGGACAACAACGAGGCATCAAATTTAATATCATCGAAGAGAAACCCACACAGGCCGTCTCCGACACCGGCGACAAAGATGAAGCGAGTAGCAACGCTGATACAGAGAAAGCCTTGTCGCCATCAAGCCCGTCTACATTTCAACCAGGGAGGTGCGCAGGATGTCACCTCCCTTTCTATCCCAATGGTAAGCTACCTGGCTTAAGCTATACGATAATGTTCTCGGTGCTCATCCATTATGTTCGTATATAGAAAAGGAAATCCTCGTCGGCTTCGCATGTGGACATGTCTTCCACCTATCACACGTTCGTTCTGATGAAACTTCAACAGCCTCGGACGGAAACCAGTCCGGAATGCAGACCCCACGCCCACTGCCTGAGCTCCGCACACCCACCTTGAATGAACTTTCGCTGTCCACGTCTCGCACTGTCGGCGCCAAGGTGACCACCGCTCGGCTGTTGAGAGATCGGATTGGCGATGGCTGCCGCATCTGTTCCCTGGCCAAAGAAATTGAGGCGCTGGGTGAGTCCGAGACGTGATGGCAGGTTCGCAGCCATCGCAGTGGTCTAGACTTCGATGCATGATCTACACATTTCTCGTTGATCGCATGTGACCTCTCTGTTCGTTCTCATTCTTGAATTCTTCCGTTGTAGCCTGAGCGGTCCGATCAGTCCTGCAATGGTGTCTCTTGTGCTTCATGCATCGTGCTCAAATACGCTCTTATTCTCAGCGCTTATGCTTGGTGAACCAGTCGCTGAAGAGAAGGCCCTATGCCATTGGTCAATCAGGTAACTGCTCTACAACTTCATGATGCGACTAGACGAGCGATTATATGTTTGGTCCTTAGAAGATACCCATGATAGTAACAATCACAACGCTAATAATATATTATTTTTTGAGTGCGAGGCTTGATCAAATCATGCGGAAACCAGCCATCTTGAGCTCCATTGGAAAGTATTAAATTCGTTGAGTATCAATAAAAGCGAGCAGCATATCACTGCCGCATCTTCATTAAAACAGGTAAAACACAGACAACATGACCCACGTGAGTTCTTTGAAATCTGAATTAGAACATGGCCAGTCATACCAGTTGCTCTGGACGGTGATTCAATCAGAGTTTGCTTCGCGAGTCTACTAAAGGAGCAATAAGACGGACGGATAGAACATGGCATCCTCCTAGACGTTCATGAAACCTGTCATCACCAAGCTCCATACCAGCAGAGCAAAGTGTATTTTCCCTTGACCATTGGCAGAATCTGACAGAGGAGGAGCGTATGATGGTTCACTGCTGCTGGGAAGAGGGGTAGAAGCACCGCTGCTACTAGTCGAGCTGGTACGGTGAGAAGTCGTCTGCACTACAGACGACGTAGTGGAAGGTTCTGACGTGGAAACGCTAGTTTGAGACGTTGGCATCGAAGCGGTGGTAGCCATGGTCGGAACTGGTGGGATCCAAATGGTGGTAGAAGGCTTTGAGAGAGTCGTGCTTGGAAGTTCGCAGATAGTCTCCGTGACAGTGATGGTGACAGTATCTACATATGAAGGCGTGTCAGCACATGGACAGATCATAAGTACAGAACCAGTGGGCATAGTTAGGGCAGAGAGCTTACCGGCGCGAGGAAGATATTTCGAGTCCAGTGGAACGACTGCTCTCTCCACTATAATGCTGTCAGCGTACGCAAGACTTGCAATTAGGTAGTCAACATCAGCACTCACCGTTGGAATCCCTCAGATTCGTATTCTCATCGACGACTTTGAGTTCTTCTATCAATCCTGCCGGAAAGTGTTAAGGAAGCACATGTCCGGTGGGTTGAGTAGGGCTCAGAATCAGAGACAACTTACCTACTCCAGAGCTCAAAGTTGCGAGGTAACAAACAGCAAAACAGAAAATAGCCTTGAAAGAAATCATAGAAGCCATGTTGCTTACTTCTAGGATGAGCAGATACAGAGCAGCAACGAAACTAGATGCAGGAAGACAAGTTTGATGATTTCGGAGTTTACAAGCGGATGGCTGGACGAAGAACAAAATACAACAGTGGGAGAAAAAGAGGGATAAAAAGGAGAGGGAAAGGAGCCACGGAAAGGGGAGAGTCAGTGCAAGGTACATAAGGTTGTTTGTTGCTCAAAGACAATGGTTACAGAAGGTGCGACAGTGACGACATTCCCCATATAGGGGAGTCGTATAGAGAGTAGACTGAGGACCACCATCGATGGAAGCACCCATCAAACTGGGCGCAGGAACAAAGACAAAATGGGTTCTGCCATTCTTTCTAGCCGGACTTGAAGCACGATGGCTCTCTCCCAAGTTACTCTCTAATCTGCGTGGCCTGTTGTGTCAAAGCTCAAGGACTGATATATATATATGATCCCTTTGTAGAGATGACAAACGTAACTTACTACATTTGTTCTACGCTACTTCAGAAACCATGTACGGTGGTGCGCCTAGGTAAGCCTAACTGATCGACTGATTGATCCTATAGGGTGATTCGACCCTATCGATGACTGTATAATGTACCCATTGAGGTGTTCACCGAATTCTTATCCGCACCTGTATGGAACAACTAATCATAACGATTGGATATCAATAGCGTCCGACTTTACAGGATACTACTCGAGCATAGGCCTACCTCGAAATCATAGATGTTGCCAATCAATCTCAAAAAGCGCTGAGAGACATCTCTAAACAGTTGACATCTGTTCATACTCAATTCGAATATCTCCTTGTGCCCTGAAACATGACTGTAAAGTTCACAAAAATAGCGTAGTTCACACTTAAGCTTCCATTTGCCACTTAACCTTGTCTAATATGGCAAAGACTGCAGGCGTTGATTAGACCTCCCAGCAGTCAGACGCTAGAAATAAGCATAATTGCCCTGCTCATCACCATGCTGTCTAGAAAAAGACTGGAACAAGCATTTTTCGACTAACTCAGACAGACCTTGGCGTACAACAAACCATCCACTAGTATACTACCAAACTATAGGGGTAGCTTTGCTTGACCTGGTACAAGCTGTTGGCCAATCTAAGCAATTAGTATCTAGCAGGTGCATATCCACAGACGTGTAAGTTATGAACAACGCAATTAGAATCTATTGAGTCTTATAGAGAACCCTATCCATTCATGTTCATCGTTTGATGAACTACCATCTGGATATAGTATAGCAACGGCTTGGACACAGTCTGCAGCCGTATAGCCTCAATTTTACCCTGTATGGAAATACGAACAATGTTGTGCCTGGACGTCTTCTGTGCACCGTAATAAACAGTATTTTTTGACAGTATTTTATTTTCTCTAAGAATTGATTGACCATGGGCCAGACTCTCATGTTCAGCTGGCAAGCTCCACATCGGCACGACCCGCGTGGAGGTATCCATTCCCTTCAGAAAGCAAAAGAATTCTTTGACATCATGCCAAGACCCAAGGTACAGCCGGATCCAGACTAATGGAATGACTGACGTCACCATCTCTGAGAGGCATGAGTTTGGCGCAACAGGCGGCAGATTCTGCTTTTTTGATTTTTGTACAGCAGTATATGGCGGGTTCTGGGCTCATCTTTCCTTCACAAACACACTTTCTAATATGCACATGCAAGATGGAAACCAACTGTATCAGTTGATAGTAACAAGGAAAAAAAAAAAATATGAGGAGTCCTCCTGACAATGCAAAAAAAGAGAAAATAAGATATCACATCAAGCGCAGATCGCAAGGGGATGAAGATCTAAAGGTCTGCTGATTGGTTGAAGGAAATCCCATCGAAAGACAACAACTAACGGCAAAACCTAACACAACCGCTAGTCCAGCCATGGCTTACGCGCACACAGCACAATCTGGAACTCGGGAATCTGGATCATCCCTTCTTCAGCAAATAATATGGGCAACTACATTTCCCACTAGTTCCCGGCACCGTGCAACGATACTGTGCATACTAGAATTGTTTTCCCTTTTCGGGTTTCGCCGCAGTTCAGTCGAGAGTTGAATATCATCTCAATTGCCCAGAACAACAGTGATGAGAGTCTGTCAAGGTTACTGAGCCAAACCTCCCAGCAATGACGTAAACCGACCTTGGCTGCATGGAGCCGAGAGCCGATGTATCATTGTACAGTCTCCGGAGTGTCAGGCCCAAAATGATCCATCTATAATGTGATTGGGGGCTTAAGAGTCTATCTACTACCTCATTGGGAAAGTGTCTAATACGAACCATAAACAGCGACACTTTTTGGAAGCGCCTGTGGGCACAGGTCGCTGTGGAGTACCATAAGCGATCAACATCGGGAGCCGAACCGACTGGAATGTCCGTCAAATCCCTTACGACCAGGGCGATTTTGGTCGAGAACATGGAGGATCCCACAATAAAAAGCACAGAGTGATTACTGATCTTTTATTTTGACAATGACTCGAGTATGGAAATTGGACAACAGCAGAGGGATACTCGCCTGGCCTTGTACCTAGAAGACTGGCTGGCCAACTCTTATCTGCAGCTCTGGTGTTGTTGGGCTTTTTGCATTTCTCTTATCTGTTCTGGAAAGTGCCTTTTGTACTGTAAATAAACACCTAGATACATTGAAGTTTCAGACTGCCGATCTTAAGAGTACCTTATACGGAGTGCACCCTGTAATTTAAATTTTGTGTTCTGGCTTTTAACTGGGGGTAAAGGGCCCGACCACTCACAATCCATGGCCATTAGTCTGTGCTTGGGTGGGACCTGAAATCTCATGGTCGCGCCACCCCCGAGTCAGTCCTAGTAGGTTGGCAGGCAGGCATGTATGTACAATCAACTAACATGCTCTGTGTTAGTAGTTGATATTCTACTCACCGATACTCTATGTTTCACAGTGTCTCTTAGTTCCAGACCCCCTACTGATGGTTCTGAGGTTTGAAGGACTTCATGGGATTGACATGCCTTCTTGACTAAGCACATAGACCACTCCGTACCTTTGACTCTACTGTATACTGTGCTTCGCACTAGCGTCTAAGACTATGACGTAATTTCTACTCGCCGATTTTCTCGGTCGCACCACCCGCTGCATTCTCTTATATCTGTCCTCAGTATTATATCTCAACCAGCGAAGGTGATCGTGTATTCTCTACCTATGCCGTATGTAATAACATGAGCCAGAAAGATCCATCTCCGACATCTTTCCATGTAAAAGAGCGGTCTGCGGGGGTTCTTTTCGAATTAGACACAGCGTACCCTGAAAGCGGTTTCTGAGTCTTCAACAAAAATTAGGCGTGGACTGCTGACAGACCAGCCTTGGACCATGACGACAATTTGTATCAAAACATATCCGAGTCAGACTGAGAGGCGATGCTCATTCAAAACTCGAAAAACTACATAGTACTTTGCAAGATTAAAGAGATAAAAGCAGGCAGAACACAGCAGAATGGCACAGGGTATCTATCTCGTATGCGTTGTTCCCCAACCATGTTCTTGAAATCACAATCAGAAGGCAAAGGAAACTGTAGCAGGAAACCTCACAGGCTAATAGCTGATATGCGAACGCACAAGTAACAATCCCGAAGAAAAATGGCAATGTTTTAAGGTGGGGAGGAAGGTGGGAAGAGGTCGTGAGAAAGATATGGCACACGAAATGGAGGAAATATCGAGATCGATAAAATCAAAATAAAATCGATGAAACAATCATATTGCGACAGGGTATCATTGCCCGGGAACTCGTTTATTATCCCCGCAATCAACGCCCCGAATAGCATCAAAAAAGGGTCAACCAGCAAACCAAGCCCACGACCACAAAGGAAAAGCAGAGACATCGCAGGACTAGATAGATATCGTTTCTTTGCCCAACGCACCAGGCGCCAAATAAGATAGGTTATTAAAACGGAATGGGATCTTGCTTATCGTCAAATGTTGAGTTAGCGTTTTTTCTTGTTTGTTTCGGCTTCGCTTCGCCGTTGAAGATGAAGAGTCTTTGAGCAGACAAATTTCTGCAACATAGCGTATCTTTGAATCCGGCCTTGGTGGCATCAGTAGCTTAATTTGACCTCCACCGCGGGATTCAGGTGTTCAGAACTGTTTGCCACTGCATTGTCGAACGCTGATGCTTCTGAAATTTCGACAACCATATCTTGGCCATCGGGCAACTCACGGACCACGTCGTCATCAACCATGATCTTGAGGCCGTTTTCCTTAACATGCAGAACTCGTACTATACGCTGTGGATCGATCTTCTGCTTCATCGAAATTTTTTCCATCAAATCACGGACGGTTCGCTCAGTTAGATAGACTGCACGATAATAATCATCACCATTTCGGTTGGTTCGTGGAAAGCGAATGTAGAAACATGCAACTAGACTAGGTCAGTACTTTGCCCTCGAAGTAAGATCTTGCACTCGACTTACTTGGCTTTTGAGGACGCTCCGCAGGTGGTCGGTAGGTGGGATCAATATCCACGGCTTCGATGTATCCCATTGGCAGATTTGAACCTCCAGAGATTCTCTGCACTTTGACCGGGTGCTTGAGAGTCATCTTGTCTCCAGAGAATTCAGAACTAGGTCGCGAATTGTCCCTCGAATTGCCCATTGATCCCTGGTAGGCAGAATCATAGAAACGTCCATGCTGCGGGAGCTGTGGGGGATGGCAGGGCGAGTTGACCGAGACATTGCTGCTGGTCGGTGACAGAGTATACGCAGAGGTATCGATACTAAGACGAGGGTCACCGGGCTTCGATGAGCCCTCCCTTTTAACCTGATCAAATGAGTCGCCAGGTAAAATCACAGGATATAGATCCGGGTCGTCTTGTTCATCGCCCCGAAGTCCGAGAATACTCACTGGCCGAGTGGAAGTGAACATGTCCTGCATCATGCCCAACTTTGCATGAAGATCATCTTCCACGGACAGTTTCTCGGCGTCTTGTGAGCTCATTGACCACGTCCTCTTGTGTTTGGAGATTTTCGCAGGGCGC